CGGATTTTTGAGGGGGCTGGGGGCGGCCGGGGCGGGGCGGGGGGCTATCCCTGGCCCAGGATAAGCCAATGGATCAGGTTTTGAGGCCCTACAGCTGGTGAATGACTCAACTTCCACTCAGATCTCGCGGTCCTGGTTCCGATGGCGTCGCTTAGGACTTCTAGGTCCGTCAGCTAGGTGCCCTTTCTCACCCTTTTTTGGGGGAGGGTTCACCCTACTGCAATAGACTACAGAAAAAAGGGCACCCTTATTCTAACCTCTGCACTGGAGGACCTAGACTTCCATTGAACCAGGCCGTTCCCAGCCACAGAGAGCTCCTTGGATGTGTTCAACCTCTCTGGGAGCATGGTCTAAGCTTTAAAATTTTACTTGCCCCCGATGGTTAATTCATGCGGAGGTGAATTCAACATTATCCGCCTCCTTTCCGACATAATCCACCTTAAACTGAAACTTCGCCTGTCCTCTTTCTTAGTCATTTCTTTTGGACTTGTGACATACCCAGTTCGCAAAGGATCGACGACGCGTGTGAAGATCAGCAAGCCAACATTGAGTCTTCGCTGGGGTCAGCCACCAAAATGCAGCGAACAAAAGAGGGCTACTCAGGCAAATGGCTGTGAATGTTAATCGGGAATCACCTCAAAAGTGGGTGGTGGACATGAATTCCCTAAAATTCCGATGTCCACCATTTCGGGTCCCCAATTTAAATTCAATCCCAAATGAAGGCAACTTGGAACCAATGACCGATTGGCCATCTTCCGGCAACTTCGATCACACTCTCCTCGCTTGGGCTTCATGAACTCGAGAGAACCCGTGCGTGGCAGGTTTTGCGGTGATCCAAGTTGCTTACCTGGACACTCCAACGACTATTCTCCTCTCTAGTTCCTGCGTTTGCCCAAGTTTACAATGCAAGCGCCCGGAAATTGCCACAAATGCCTCAGCTGAAAAACGCCTGCAAATGGCACGGAAAGAGTTCGCAAAGGAAAGTGCAGGTAGGCCGTTTGAAAGCTGTGGGCCTGTGGGTTTGCGTGTTGTTTCTTTTGATCAGACCCACGCAGCCGGCTGTTTGACAGGCGTCCCTTTTTGCTAAACATCCATGGTGGCCGGCAACCACCCAAACAGGGTGAAAAACTGCCTTTGCATCGGCGCTTTGTTTTCACACCGGTGTTGCCGATTCTTTTGTTCCATGGCCACTGTTTGGGAAGAATGTTGGAAGCACTTTCACTTTTTGAGTACCCCAGGGTAGACTTCAACCCAGGGGTGGTTTATTCTCCCCAAAAGAAGAGCCTCTGAGTTTAAGCTACTCAAGTGGAAGCATAGGTGAGTTTGGTTGCAAATAGATGGCACTGGTTTACAAGAATATGTTTTGGTCCCTTGCGGTTGGAAGACTTCCGTCCTAAAAAGACCCCCCCGTGTCCGGTCGCGCCGAGGCTAAGACGCCGAAGGCCAAAGCCAAGGGCCGCAAGAAGCCGTGAGCCGAGTGCCGCGAGGAATCTGAGAGAATCTGAGCTCGGGGGGTACCCCCTGGAAACATGGAACTGGGTGAATTATAACGACCTCACACGACCTCCCCCCAAATGGTGGTTTATGTGGGGGCTGTTCCCCCCCAACCACAAAATGTTCAGGTTGGCGAAATATTATGATTCACCCAGATGGAAGCTGAGAGGAGAATGGCTACCAGTCTACCAGCTCTTTTGGTGGTCTTTTTCGGGAGAAAGGGAAAACCACCGTTTGGGAGGCTCCCAAATCCTGAAGACGTGCCGAGGAGGGTGTAAGACAACTTTCCTTTTGATTAAAAAAAAAAAAAAAACCTTGCCCATGATATGAGTGTCCCATCTGTTCATAGGCTAGGTGCCCCAGCTAGGTGCCCTTTACCCTTTTTTGGAAAAGGGTTCCGCTGCTAAAATAGACTACAGAAAAAGGGTACTTTTACTTTGACCTCTCTACTGGCGGGCCTAATAGGAGTGACCACGGTTTCTTAAAGATTCGCTCCCAGCGCTCGCGGCTGTACATAGCCCCGAAGCCCAATCGCGCAGGTCGGGGATTTTCGGATCTCTTCTCGCCCAAACTGGGTACGACAACGAATCCGAAGCGCAAAATAGCCCACGACTAAAGGACACCAAAGGAGGATGTCAGAGAAGAGCCAACCGTTCAGAGAACACCAATGGTTGCCTATTCGCTTTGCGGCCGGGGGGTTGTTGGAAAGCTGGTACATCATGAACCGGGGCTTTCGATTTTGAGTGAATGTTGTCTTGAGGACCCGTTTTGGGTGTATTTTAAGGTGACGCCTACAGGGAGGCCACCAGTTTTTGTGGCCGCCCTATTTCGACACATGCATCCGGATCCACAAGTCAAGGGTTGCATTTGCAGCCGAACGCCAATGCGGCCACCGTGTTTGCCGCCCATTTTCACACATAATGAATCAAGGGCTGATGTTCCACGTGGGTCATGTCGGGTCTGGGGATTTGTTTTTTACGTTCGCTGCCCCTTCCGACTCATCTCCGTCCGCGAGTGGGTCTCCGTTTCACGTGGCCGCACGAAAAGGAAAATGATCAACGAGGTGGGAGGGGGTTGGGGTATAAAGATCTCTGCCCAGTGGGTTGCTTCCTGTCTTCGACATTTTTTTGGGCATGGGTTCCGATTCCTTTAAACTCAACCAACAGAAAAAGGGTGCCCCTCTTTTCCAATAACCACTGGGCATCTGAGAGATAAATTAAGTCAGAACCACGGGAAAATAGTGTTTGTAGCTGTTCAGCCAATTTTCCTACCGGGAGGGCCAACTCTGAAGCCAAATTGCCTCATCACATTCCGTTCCCGTGATGTTCCTATTTATCTAGGCCATCTTACTGCAGTGCGCCTGTGTTGTGGGTGTGTATGTGTGAATCGAGGGCACAAGGAAAACCAACAGGAAGCACTCATTTTGTGGGTCCAACTCCTATTTTGACACATACACTTATGATTGCCTCTGTTGGAGACCTTGCCAGACCCTTCAAGATCTGTTGAGGTCCTTCTCCTTGACGTTGTTCGGGTTCAAGGGCTTTCAGAATGAACTAGAAAAACAGTGGCACATGGATATTTACAAGTATTGTTATGATATATATATATATATATATACATATTCGTATACGTATGCGTCTTGTCTCTGTGTGTATGTGCCTATATACGTCAATATTAAATCAGAGCGCCCAAAACCCCACGATGGTTTTTATCTAAACGTTTTCTAAATAGCTTCCGCGAAAGAAAAACTCTGCGTCGCGACGGAAATGCGGGCGGGATTTCCGCGAAAGCTCTGCGAAAGCCCGTTAGGAGTGGCCTCCTTTGCTCACTATTGTTGTACTGAAACTTTACAGTTTTTGAGCTGGAGCTGCCAAAGTGCACTTGGCGTGCCACGCTTGTGTTGCAAAGATGCAATTTTCAAACTGGAAGCTGCTGAGCTACCAACTGTACTTAGTTGTGCTTTTCTTGCATTGCGATCCCTGCTAAGCTCAATCAGCCGCCGCGAAAGGGTTGATGCAAAAGAAGCCGCCGCGAAAGGAAAGCGCAGCGCGCGAAAGCTTCGCCAAAGCTCTGTGAAAAGACTCTATGAGGGCAACCAAGTCTCGATCGGATTTTTTGCACCGCTCATATGTGTGTGTGTGTGCGCTTGTGTAAATTTATATTTATATAAATATGGAGCGCCATTTGTAGTTTTTTTGGTTTAAGGACCGGTTTGTTTTTCAGGGTGGGTGGCGTTTTGGCATTTGGCTCTTCGGCTTTTGTGTTTTGTTTGTTTTAGCGGGTTTCTGTGCTTCTGGTGGCTTTTTCGGCTTTGGCTTTTCGCATCCTCTGCGTTTGCCAGTTCCTCTCTGCAGGCATTTTGGCTTTGCGGCTTTGATTGGCTTGGCTTTGCGGCTTTTTGTGGCTTGTTTGGCTTTGGCTTTTCGCATGCTCTGCGTTCCCAGTTCCTCTCTGGCAGGTGGCTTTATGGCTGTTGGTTCCTGCAGCCTTTGGCAACTTTCGTGGCTTTGGCATTTCGCATCCTCAGCATCACCAGCTCCTCTCCGGCAAGAGTGTTTAATGAAGAGCATTGGCATTCGAATGCGAATCGGTCTTCTTGGAACCTGCCAAGCACTTCCTTCCCATTGGTATCCTGTCATCAAAGCTGTTTATGTTTGTGTACTAGGCTCGGGGACTGCTATTGGTTTTGGAGGGATTTGATCGATTCTAAATGGAATTATGGGGATTTCGGACTTAGAGGGGGTTTGACTGGGGAAGTTGACCGCTTTGCAGGGGTGATTCGATTGGCTTCTGGATTTGGTTTTGACCTGTTTCTGCGTTTTTTGGATGGCGTTTGACTAGTTCTTTTTAGGGGGACATTGACTGGTTTTTTAGGGGGGGTCGAGAGATGATTTGAGTGGTTTCTGGGGGAAATTGACCGGCTTCTAGATGAAGTGACACCGGTTTTGAGAGGTTCTGCAAGGGTTTGACGGAGTGGAGCTAAGGTGACGTTGGGGGGCGTTGGAGTCAGAAGCGGGGGATGTTGAAAACGATGCTGGGGATGTTAACAAGCTAGGCCCAAATACGTGCATTTCGTGAGAAAATGCAATAAGCTACGGCATTCTACTGCCCGGGACGAAAAAGCAAAAACAAAAGTAACAATTCCTAAACTCACTGTCGCCCCGATGTATGAATATACATGTATAGGTGTATATGTAAAAAAGTGTATGTACGGTCCCTGTCCCTGGCTGGGTCGCCCCACGCCTTTTCTCCGCCAATGTTTCCTGACCGGTTTTGAAGCTGGATGCCTATGAGCCGGCAAATGGACCAAACCGCATGGAGATCTGCATGAGTCAGGGTGTCCATGGCCTACATCACGTATGTGCACTTTATGGCTATTTGGTTGGATCCTTGGACTTTAACTTTTTGCAGAGGGGTCAATAGCAACCCAGTATATGTATGCAAACGCAAACGCGCCCAGATATGCCCAGATGTTTTGCATGAAAAGCGACGCCTCCCAATCAAATGGCGGCCCTGCTTTCTTAGCCTCCCAACCTGACGGCCCTGGCTGTTGGGCGCCATGCGGCGGCCGGCGGCGCCGCCACGGTTGTTGATTTGGGATTGTTTTTTCTTTGAGCCCCCACCCCCACCCCCCCCACAAAACAAACAAACAAACAAACAAACACAAATACGGAAGTTAGTTTTTTCTGAGGCCCCCTACAGAAGTGAGTTTGCCTTTGGTTTCCTCTTAAAACAGCCAACCAAAAAAGGGTACCCTCAAACACATGCTCAAATGTATTGTTTTTGTGTTTTGTCTCGGGGGGATGGGGCGTTGAAGGCTACGATGCTGAACTTCTTGTTGAGCCACTCTCTTTGTGTTTCCTCTTTCCACTCGGGCCCTGTTCACAGGGACTTTCAGCGACTGGCTTGAGCTTGCAAGCTCACGAGTCCACCCTGGGTTCAGGTTACCCTTGGACCGTCACCAGCGCACTCCACAGGGCGACGAGTACCTGAGCGGTTACCATGGGCGAACACCCCAAATCCCGTTGGATTGGAGTTGGGTTTGGGCATTCCGAGTTCTTGCGGAATGGGAAACGTTGAGGTTTCCTCCAAGCCGCCAAGCTGGGAAGCTGAAGTCTTGAATGGAAACTTGCCCAGACCATGGTAGAACTGGATGTGTCTTGTTTTGAGGGTACCCGTGTTCGGTGGCTTTAAAGGGACGCCAAAAAGAAATCCATCATTTTAGTAGGTCCCCTGAAAACAAGACACACCCACAAAGAAATTGCGGATCCATGCCAGTTTCCCTTTGCGCCCCGCAGAACCCAGTTCGCGCCACCCTGTTCGCCGCAACGGTGCTAACCACAGGGCTCCTGTGGCTTGGGACGCAACCCTTGATTGTTGCCTTCCGGGTAAGCTTGGGATGTTTGTCGGTGATATATCAGCCACCTTGCCTGTGTTTGTGTTGACGCGTGGTGTGTGTGTGTGTGTGGTATCTCATTTGCAGTGTGTTGCATGTCGTGCCGAGTTGCGTTGATGCGTTTCCATGATCACGCAGTACCCAAACTCGAGCTTGGTAACCGTGCATATCGCGGCAGTTTGAAGCGCCATGGTAGCTCGCCAAGCGTTGCGAAGTGTGACGCACCAATGCGGAGACCAGATTCCGGGGATGGATCGGGATACCTTGTGCGCAACGAGCAGCTTATGGGAGGGTAAAGGAGGCAAATCAATTGGAGTTAACAACGCATTTTTAGTGGTTCCCTGCGTATTTTGGTCGATAAAATGAAGATGAAGCTTCGTGAGATGGACGCGAACGGAGTCGCGTGGACATGGTATGTGGAAGGGCGCACGGACTGTACACCTTGTTTCTGCTGAGTTGAAGTCTGCCGAGACGAGGGAACTACTCTGACCACAGATTCCTGGAACAGTGTCCATTTGACTTGTAGTACCAAGCGGTTGTGTTGCCAGGCAGATATCGAGCGCGATATCAAGGCAGGGGCGTTTTTTGTTGCGATGAGCCATTTGTTGGGTGAGACATTAGTCAGGTTTGGATTCAATCATCTAGCCCAACTCCGTGAACGATGAAATTGGGGGAGGGGTGTGGCTTTTGGAGTTACATTTAGGGACATTCGATCTACAGGGCGCAAGTGAGCAAGTTATATAGGATCTGGAACCTCCTAGTGGGGTGTTTGACGTGTTCGCCGACCTCTCTCTTGTCCCCAAAGTTCCGCACAGGGGAAGCCCTTGTTATGTCCTTGTTGCTTCCTGGCAAAAAGTGGGGGAATCCCTTATGGCCAGGGCTCCCATTGGGCTGGAGAGGTGTGACCCCGGAGGGTGAACCCCCCGTGCCCTCCGTGAAACTCGAGATGTCCGCAGGGCTGCTGTATCCCAAGTGACTCCCCACATGTGGATGGGATACCGAAGAACCCCTTCGCTCCACGACATGGAAAAAAGCCCACGGCGTTGAACACCAGGCGTTGAGGGCTCGAACCATTCCGTTGGGTTTCTGAACTGTGCGGAGCGGATGGATTTCGCACCCATGCACGGTAGGTCTCCTTTTCATCGACAAGTTTCGTCAAGAATCGATGGGATCCACCGGTTTTGGAGCTTTTAAGCCCCAAATGGCAGTGGAACCTATATCCATTTTAAGGATCAAACTAAGTTTCTATCACATTTTCCGGAGGCAAAGCCCACCGATTCTTCCTTAGGGCCACCAATTCCTGGTTGCGAGCCATCGCCTCCAACTCACGGCTCGTCTCGGGTCAAGGCCGCCAGGGAGCAGCTGCTGCTGGGCAACTACCAGGCGAGAATTTTTACCACAGGGGACCAGGATATGGACCACAGGGACCAGGATATGGACCACAGGGGACCAGGATATGGACCACAGAAGACCAGGATATGGACCACAGGGGACCAGGATATGGAATACAGGGGACCAGGATATGGACCACAGGGGACCAGGATATGGACCACAGAAGACCAGGATATGGACCACAGGGGACCAGGATATGGACCACAGGGGACCAGGATATGGACCACAGAAGACCAGGATATGGACCACAGGGGACCAGGATATGGAATACAGGGGGATATGGACCACAGGGGACCAGGATATGGACCACAGGGGACCAGGATATGGACCACAAGGGGACCAGATATGGACCACAGGGGAGGATATGGAATACAGGGGACCAGGATATGGACCACAAAAAACCAGGATATGGACCACAGGGGGCCAGGATATGGAATACAGGGATATGGACCACAGGGGACCAGGATATGGACCACAGAAGACCAGGATATGGACCACAGGGGACCAGGATATGGACTATAGGGGACCAGGATATGGACCACAGAAGACCAGGATATGGACCACAGGGGACCAGGATATGGAATACAGGGGACCAGGATATGGACCACAGGGGACCAGGATATGGACCACAGGGGACCAGGATATGGACCACAGGAAACCAGGATATGGACCACAGGGGACCAGGGGACCAGGATATGGACCACAGGGGACCAGGATATGGAATACAGGGGACCAGGATATGGACCTAGGGGCCAGGATATGGACCACAGGGGACCAGGATATGGACCACAGGGGACCAGGATATGGACCACAGGGGACCAGGATATGGACCACAGAAGACCAGGATATGGACCACAGGGGACCAGGATATGGACCACAGGGGACCAGGATATGGACCACAGGGGACCAGGATATGGACCAGGATATGGACCACAGCGGACCAGGATATGGACCACAGGGACCAGGATATGGACCACAGGGGACCAGGATATGGACCACAGGGGACCAGGATATGGAATACAGGGGACCAGGATATGGACCACAGGGGACCAGGATATGGACCACAGGGGACCAGGATATGGACCACAGGGACCAGGATATGGACCACAGAGAACAAAATATGGACCACAGGGGACCAGGATATGGACCACAGGGGACCACCAGGATATGGACCACAGGGGATATGGACCACAGGGGACCAGGATATGGACCAGGATATGGACCACAGGGGACCAGGATATGGACCACAGGGGACCAGGATATGGACCACAGGAATTGGACCACAGGAATTGGACCACAGGAATTGGACCACAGGAATTGGACCACAGGAATTGGACCACAGGTTTTATGGTCCATGTTGCCACTTACCGATCGGGCTTGTGCTTTTTTTGGGGTTACCCTATGTTTGACCCACCATATGGCGCTTTCTCAGGTTGCTTCCCGTGTTTGACTTGCTTTGGGGGTTTTAGCGCCACCGATTCCTGAATATGACGATGAACCTTAAGAGTTGGAGCCATCCAAAAGTGGCGGGTGGACATAAATCCCAAGCGAAATGACAGGGATCCCTATATTTCTCGTTTTTGCGGATTCAATCATCACCTTTTGCGCCCGTGAAAGGTGAGTGTGCCTTGAACAACTTGGCGGGGGTGATGTTTTAAGGGGAATATAGGGAGCCCTGAATGATGTCCATTCATACCCAGGTGTTGCCCAATGGGTTGCTTCCTTTTTGCGACTTTTTGGGGGGTTTAGGGTTCCGATTCCTGAAAAAGCTCAACCGACAAAAAAGGGGCCCTTTAAAACCACACAATAAATAGGACCCTCAAAAAATGACACACCCCTATGGTGTCGTTTTCCCCTTGTGGGTGTTCAAGGGATTCGATTTCACGTAGCTGGAAATATGTTCTTAGGGGGGAGGAACCCCGGGATTTGGCCTAGGAGAAGGCAGAAACTTGATCCGGAAATATAAGTATGACCCACAGCAGCTCTGGGGGTTGATTCTGTGATTTGTTTGGTGTCAAAGTCAGCTATTGGGGGTGGTTCCCTTCAACCTACCGCTGAACGGGGCTGACTTTGATGGTGTCTGGAGCCTGCACGGCCGTTTCGAGGACGTCAGGCTCATGGGAATATCAGAAGTGGATTGTCTCGTTTTTGAGGGTACTCCCTTTTTGGCGGTTTTTGAAGGGAAGCACAAGAAAAACTACCCATTTTGGTGGGGTCCAAATCCTAAAAGAAAAACAAGCCATACGTGGGAACCTGTCAGAAGCCAACTGGCCCCAGAAGGCAACCCCTTGAGGTCTGCGTTTCAAGGGAAACTCACGTGCCCGAGTTTCCGGGCTGTGTACCTTTGAAGAAGACCATTTTGTTGGTAAACACAAAGCTTAGACTTTGCCCTCCTCCCGGCTTCCCCAAAAGGAAAGGTCTTCCAAAACCCTCTGATCAGCTTCCATGTTGAGTGCACCTTGGGCTCAGGCTGAGCAAAGCTGGGCTCCGCCCACCTTGAGACTTGGGGCCGTCTTCATGTGTTGAAATGCCCCCTTTCTAACAAGGGAAGTGGACGATCCGTGGGGGAGGGGTGGGGGAGGGGGGGGAGGGGGGGGGGAGGGGGGGGGGAGGGGTGGCTTGCCCAGAAGGAAGGCGCTCGGCTTCCGAAACCCTCCGATCGTCAGCTGCCATTAGAGAGAGGGCTACGGGAACCGCGCCCTAGCCTGAACATGCTAGAAGTCTCAAGTGTGAACCGAGGCAACCCCTGCCTGAACCTAAAAATAACAAGGGCGGCCCATGTAAATTAAAACTCATGTACGCCTCAGTTGAAATCCATGCAAACCGCATGTAAACCCCATGCAAACCATGTATACTGTAAACCCCGGTAAATCCCTTGTAAACTTCCTGTAAACCCATGTAAACCCCACGTAAACTTTCTGAACACCCCATGTAAACTTCCTGTAAACCCCATGTAAGCCCCATATACACCTGACCAAAACGCATGCGTCCGTCGATCAGAACTCCATGGAGCGCTACGAGGCGGTCCTCGCAGTGCCGGCGGAGGTGGTGGCTGCTTGGCGGAGAAAGAGGTTCGATGCGACGAGAATCCCCGGGACGGGAGGGGTGACAGGTCTTCTGAGCACACGGCTGGAGAAGTGGAATGTCACAACTGCGGGTGGTTCCTTGATTTCTACCACTGAACGGGAAGCCAGTTTCATCCAAAATGTTGGAGGAAGGGAGAATTACTGTGATCGCTTCACTTCTAACATGTTGGAGCGGATGAAGTGTTGCCATGTTTTTCCCCCAGAAGCTGGAAGCTTTGGAGTCTTGGCCCACGTAAGCTCTGGAGTGGTTTGGGGCAGCTTTCAGGTAGGGTTCAAGAGAGGGGGTTCCAGAGGGTTCCCCTTGCAAATATCACTGGTAACTCAACTTCCTGAGTTCATGGACTTTAGTCACTTTTTGGGCTCGGACCATTTTAGTGGTAAATAAAAACAGTTTGGTTACTTTCTTGGCCAACCCGGGAAGTGAGTAGAGAGCGTCCTCCCATGGGGTTTTTGAAAGCCCAGATGTAGCGGTCAATATCAACCGCTGTGAAGGGGACACCCCCCAAACACCCCCCCCAAACATGCAAAAAAAAAGACTGGGGAAGACTTAAACTAGACCATGTTTGGAGCTGATTTTTTTGCAAGGGGTTCAAGGGGGAATGGCCATAGTTGTTCACCTCCAAACTGGTCAGTGAACATGAATTGCAGACTAAATGATGTCCGCCAAAGGTCCCCAGTTGAAGTTCACCCCCATATTTCGAGGAGCCTTTCCTCTTCGTCATTGTTGCTCCGGATGACCTTTCACGTGTCTATGCCCCTCATGTGGTGATCCAGTGCTGGGTGGAAGCTCCCTTGGGGATTTCGGGCGGGTTCTTTGGGGATGGCGAGCTCCACTCATCGATTAGTGAGTCCGGAGTGGGCCGTGCGTCCAAGAAGCTGCCGCAATGTGGCCTCTGAGCCGTCCTGGGTCATTCCCCCGGACCCCATCTTAGACATCGCCTCCCGAGGCGATCCCGGATCGAGGGTGTATTATCCGCAGCAAGGACGGGCTCCTTGCCTATGGCGCAATCATCCACTCTGGGGCTAAGCTGGCGAGCATGCTGGACCATGACTTTCCCTTTGTGACACACGTGCAGAGCGTGCCGTTCCAGGTGGAGTACATCAGTGATTGGTTTGTGTCGGTCAGCTAGGGAAATGAAAAGAACACACAACCGTATTATATACTTCGGACCGGCTGGTATTGAATGCAGGAAAGCCAAGAGGAAGCCAACTTGCCATTTTGGAAACGGACCGATTCCTAAATTTGGGGGTGTCTTGTTTTGAGGGTTTTTGTTTGGTGGTTTTGATGGGAAGCCAGAAGTGAAAACGCTTGCGCCATGTTGAGTCCAAATCCAAAAAGAGAGACAAGCCACTTATCCGGGTAGGGACCCCAGATGCTTCGCTGGTTGTGAACATTTGTGTGCCTTATTGAAAGGCAAACAACGAGCCACTTGTTCCCAGGGTTAGCCTGTGAGCTTGCAACAAGGGTTACTATTTGAGTGTTCGGCCAAGTTAGTAAGTTGTTGGTATCCTAGGTTAAATCCTGCATACAGAAGTCCCCGTTCAGTGGTCTTAACATCGTTAGTGGAGGGTTCCCATTCGTTTAAGATTCGTTTAAAGTCGAACCCAAAAAAGTCGTCTGCTGATTCGGTTTTTTCCCATGGACATCCACCGAAAAGCTGAGCTTAGGCCAGTGGCCTGCCGGCGGCGGAGCGGAAGCAAGCGGCCGAGATGTTCGAGAGGCGCGCGCGGGAGTCCTTTGGGCCCCTCGCGTCCTCGCCGGGTCGGGGGTCGACCGCCAGCAGTTGGTGTTTTTTTTTTTTAATGTAAATCATGGGGTCTGGGGGTGGAGCGGAGGGAGCTCATCAAGCCCTTACTTATTTGGGCGTCCTTCCCTCCAGGACTCCAGGCCCCATGAAACCAGGCCCCGTGTTTTGAAGGGAAGTCAAACGCGGGGTACCACATGTGTTTCCATCGCATGGTGCCAGTTCACGCAACCTGTGCAGGGTTGCATCGACCACGGGTAAAAGCCTCCTGCAGCCTGGGGGCGGCGGGAAAGGTTGGCGCCTTGGTTGGCATTTCGTTTTTTTTTTTTTTCCCCCCCCCGTTTTTTCAGTGCTCCAGTGGGTTGCTGTCGACTTTCTTTGGAGGGGTTTCCCTTAAAAACCAACTACAAAAAACAAGTGTGTGCTTCTTCCCAAGTAAAACTCCATTGGGTCCGGGACCTAAAGGGAGCGACCGGGGATACAGCAGGCAGTGGATGGACAAGTCAAATCGCCAGCAAATGGGAAGGATGAAGCTCGCTGACTGATGGATAACCACTCACCAACTGGTACACATTTTTTGTCCATCCACACGGACGGTTTCTTGGGACCACCCGGAAAAATGGAACACCGCTGAAAACGTATATGTGAAACCTAGGAGGGGGACTTCACTCATTTCTCGTCCTCAGTTGCTTGTTTCCACGTCGAGTGGTTTGGGTTCAACTCGACGTTGTTTTGGACTGGTTTCGGCCAGGCTGCAGCGGCAGTTGAAGGTCGAGGCGCCTGGTTCTGGTTTCCGGGCCTTCTGGCTGTGAGTTCGCAAGGGTCGGGGGTTAGAGGGTTGAATCCTTTGTGGCTACTTAGTTGGATCTTTGATTTACAGCTGGATTTAGTTGGATCTTTGGGCTTTAATCTTTTGGCTGAAAGTTTAGTTGGATCTTTGGGCTTGATTTTTTGGCTGAAACAGGTGAGATTTTCCGGATTGGACCCACAAAAAGTGAACCTTAACTTTTTGCAGGGGGGGGGCCAAGAATCCTACCCCCGGTCCCAATGGAGGCTAAACACGTGCCTTTCTGGTGGCTCTTTTCAGGATTAGCATCGATAGGATCCTGTTAGGTTGGCCCGTAACAAACACGGGAATTGAAACTGCTTCGCATCTGCTAGCTTGGCCATTTCATAGCAGTCAGCTTTTTTGACTGTTGCTGCAAGAGCTCCCATCGTCAAGGACTAGTTCGCAGCTTGCCACTGCTGTGGCAAGAGTGTGGCCTAACTTGCTCATGCCTGAACAGAACTTGAAGGATCACTCTTCTGAGAAGCACAAGCTCAACTTGGAGAAGTGCCACTGAACGGGAGGTGACTCTATTCAAACCGAGTCAGTTTCACATCCAAAGTGCTGGATCAACGGATTCTGTCGGCCAGCTTGACGTCCAACTATTAAGGGTTCCAGTTCACCCTTTCAAGCAGTTGGGATGTAGTTGAGATTCAGTCGGTGGAGGAAATCCTGCACCACCGTTCAGAAACCCTGGAATGATTCGACTCCCCTGTAAATACCAACCAACGAAATGGTTTCATTTCGTGGTGCGAGAAGCGGATTTCGAAACCATCCACAGTATCACCTTGCTTTATTTTCTCAGCAAGCCCACCAGTAGATCACGGCAATTGGTCCTTGTAGAGAGTGACAGCGGCCTCCTGGATTCCCACAGATGTTGAATTGAACAACAAAAATGGCAAAGAAGCCACGGGTACAGGGTGGGCAGCCACAATCTTTCAACCTTTCAATCCTCCAGTGCCACAATGGCCACACATGTCCTCATCCATGAACTTCCTCTTCACCTTTCTGGGAAGAGCTCCTCCAAAGTGGCCGGACAAAAAGTCCCATGCAAACGGATGCCTGTTGTGTTTTTCTTTGTCATCGGGGAGCCCCGTTTGATTGGTGGAGAAGCCACGGAAACCACCAATCTTTGCGGGGCCCGCCAATTTGGCACATGCCCAAATGATGTCCACCAACAATTCCCTGACTGAAGAAGCATGAGCGAATGTGGGTGACCTCAAAGCGGAGCAAGCGGTGAGCCATGCGGGCTGGCGGTCTCCAGGCGGACTTGCTCACGCGAATCCAAGATGAGTGGACCTCCTTGGGGTCGCAAGCTTAGACGGCAGGCGTGTGCCTTACTTGGAGGTCTGGGGGTGTTCTAGGTGGGTACCCTCCCTCCCACTAACATGGCACCTGACTGGGGGTCCCTTGAAGAGGAAAATGATCTTCCAGGTGCCCTCCAGCAGTTGCTATGTTAGTGGGAGGGTAACTCTGGTTGCAAGCTCACATGGGGTTAGGGGGCGAAACCGTGGGGAGGCCGGGGGGGAGGGGGGGAAGAGGTGTGCTGAGCACTTAGCCAGCTCGCGATTGTGCCAATCTAGTGCTCGGCAACAGAGCCCCTTTGGCTCTGTTGCTTCCCTTGCAATGAGGCACGCAAGTAAAGCAACGAAGCATTCGGGGGTCAGAACCCAGATAAACCCTCCATGAGAATCGAATCCTGCTTTCGAGCGGCAATCCCTTCAAAGCGAGTCCATAGGAACCACAAACCGGGGGGGGGGGGGGGGGGGCGTTTAAAGCGAATCTCCCAAGTAAAATCTGGTGTCCCCATGTTTTCTCAGGTGGGTTCATTTCCAACATCACCTTGCTTGGCCAAGCTAGATGTCTTTCGGCTTGGAAACGTGAACCCTACTAACCCCAGCTCCCGTGCGCGTGCTTTGGTTCTGTGGTTGAAAGGTGGCCTCACAACAGGTGCACAAAGCCCCACGGATTTGGCTTGAACCACGTACCTAGACTTTCCCTGACCTTTTAACAATGGGTTCATGACCCCCTTGGGTAATGACCCCATTTTCCAAGGGGTCATGGAGGTCACAGGTATCTGAATGCAGTAAGCCGCAAGCTTTGCCCGAGCTCGGCTTCCCTCGAGCCAAATCGGGGGGCGAGTCGGTGGTTTGGAGCTGAATCGGGAGCTGTTGGAGTTCTGTGGTCAGGGGTGGTTTCCCAGTTGCCCACCACAAATGCCAGGGATTCAAATCCAAATCCAAATCAATCCAAACCATCAACGAATGTTGACCCCGGAAAAAAAAAAAAGAAACAAAAAAAAAACTTGTCCTAGTACTTGTGGGGGGGGTCTCCCTCCCAAGAATTATGAGTCACCAACAGGGACACCCGGCCATTTTCTCTTGACCTGGGACCCCCTAAATTCTACAAAGGACGAGTGGCCCATCTGAATCTTAGTTGTCAGGTACTCGTTACTTTGGATTGGTGGGAACTGGGAATTTGAACCCCTTCTTGTGGAGGGCAAAGGGACACCCCAACCACTGCAGCTGAGATTGGAGACCCTTTTCTTCCAGTGGCTGAAATGATTGTGCTTGTTTTGTTGATTCTCCCCTGTTGGTTTTCAAGGGAATCGAATTCACTGCAGGACATACTGTGGATTCACGAAATCTGATTGGCACCACCGTTCAGAAACCCTGAAACGATTCGACTCCCTGTAAATACCAACCAACGAAATGGTTTCAACCATGGTTTCATTTCGTGGTGCGAGAAGCGGATTTCGAAACCATCCACAGTATCACCTTGCTTTATTTTCTCAGCAAGCCCACCAGTAGATCACGGCAATTGGTCCTTGTAGAGAGTGACAGCGGCCTCCTGGATTCCCACAGATGTTGAATTGAACAACAAAATAGCAAAGAAGCCACGGGTACAGGGTGGGCAGCCACAATCTTTCAATCTTTCAATCCTCCAGTGCCACAATGGCCACACAGGTCCTCATCCATGAACTTCCTCTTCACCTTTCTGCGAAGAGCTCCTCCAAAGTGGCCGGACAAAAAATCCCATGCAAACGGATGCCTGTTGTGTTTTTCTTTGTCATCGGGGAACCCCCTTTGATTGGTGGGAAGCCGCGGAAACCACCAATCTTTGTGGGGCCAGCCAATTTGGCATAGGTATGTTTCTCATTTTTTTTTTTTTCCGGGGACACTTATTGGCATACATGGGATCGAGGCCCTTCGGCGCCGCCGTCAGCAGCCCAGCGGGCGGAGAAAATTCTTTGGGCGGTGGCTTTGTTTGGTGTCGGCAGAAAGACGAATCCCCAACAACGAAGAGAAGGTTGCAGGGAGAAAAAAGCAAAAATGAAGAGAAGTGAGAGAGGATTCCACAAACTCGTTGATTGAGTGATTGAGTAATTGATTGATTCATTGATTCATTGATTCATTGATTCATTGATTCATTGATTCATTGATTCATTGATTCAGTCAATTGATTTGATTTGATTTGATTTGATTTGATTTGATTTGATTTGATTTGATTTGATTGACTGACTGACTGACTGACTGACTGACTGACTGACTGACTGACTGGTTGGTTGATTGATTGATTGATTGATTGATTGATTGATTGATTGATTGCTTGGGGGGGATGATTCACTCCAATTTAAGAAGAAATCCTCACTTTCGGGGAACCCGCCCTACAAATCCAGCAGATTAATTTGATCCGGGGTTGACGTGACCCTGCAAGACGCGCATGGGTCTTGCAGATTTGGGATTTGAAGTGGGCCTGTTTGATACAGACGCCTCAACCAAGTGAAGTACACAATGCTTTTGCTACTATACCTCATATTGGTCAGCGTTTTGGAAACAAAAATTGGACCCCAGCCTGTGAAAAACGTGTCCTAGTCCTCTGGTAGAAATCCCCTAGGCAAAGCGCAGTGAACCAATTCGCGAGGCTCAGAATGCGGGGCCTGGAGGCCGGAGATTCGTGTGTTTCGGTGCGTGTGTATGTGGTGTTTTGTGGGTCTGGATTTGCTGCATGTGTCTTGTTTGGTCTGTGTGCGTGTGTCTGTTTTGTGGGCACCTTGGTTGGGGAATGTCAAGACTTGCTGGGATGACCCCTATAAACAAAATTTCCTATGGCTTCCTTTCTATGGTTTCCTTTAAGGGAAATCCTTGGTTCACTCCCACAACCCTGGGGCATTCCCTGAGCACCAGCAAGAAACGGGGAAGCAAAACAGAAACTGCACTCAGTGGGGCAAATCCCATTGTGGGCAGAGAGGCATCTAAAGCACGGAGATGTGGATCAGGTCTCGGACGGATGTTGGTGACATGGGACAAGCCGCAGGGGTGTGAGGTTTGTTCCATGTTTGGTGTTCAGTCTGTTTTCAGGCTGTTTTCAATGGCCATCCTGCCATTGTTTCGAGTGGGCTTTGTCTCGGGCAGCTCCTTTCTTCCCGATCGGGAATCAGCCTCAGTATCACAAAAGGGAACCCGCCTAAATGCTTTTTTCTTTCCTCTTGGTTTTCCTTTCACACCAGATCAAAAACCCTTCACCAGAGAACAAGGATCAAACACAAGAGCCAGCTACTCTCCCACCAATGAACATGGAGCCTGACGTGCGGGACCCGGTCACTTTAAAAGGAGAAACTTGTCCAAACCAGGACGAATTTCGCGAACGTCGAACGGTTCCATTTTTCTTGGTGGGAGGCTATTGGCACCCAAGGTTTCAGGTTGCACGCTGATGCCTCTGGGCTGATGCCTCGCAGGCAAGGTGAACATGCTCGACGACTTCGCGAGCGCTGGCCCCAGAGGATTCTATTTCCCCGGAGGGGCCGGGGGCGACTGGCGACTAAAGGGGTATGTGTGTGTGTGTGTGTGTTCTTTGTGACCCCCCAAAGTGGTGGGTGTCCTGTTGATTTCCCTTTATAACACACCCAAAACGGGGTACCACCAAAAACAAGATCTACAAGTAGAACCCCGTGCTTTCGCAATCCCAGGGATTGCAAAAGGATCGCCAGGGATTTGTAACCCATGGGGGCATGGTCCGTCAAGAAGTGGTTTGAATCACATAGGGGCATCCCCCAATCAACAAAAAAAAGGGTTCTGCTTATTCTGGGGTCAACACGACCTTTCGTTCGCCCCTTTTTTAACCCATAGGAGCCTCCCAGTTGTGGCTTCCCTATACCTTGAGGGAGGTGCTGGAAAACTCCTTTTAACCCCGAAAACTAGCCCCAACTCGATTGCCATGATATTCTCTTGAGTTGCTCCACCTTGCACTATAGTCTATGGCTTAATTTCAGGCAACAACAAAAGCACGACTCACGAAATGTCCCATGTCTTCTTGGGTAATCTATGCAGTAATTTGAACCATGGCTCAGAAACGCCCCAGATGAGGATACGCAGACCTCCCATGTTCACCCCCCGATGTCGAACATGCTCGAGGCATGGCGGCCGCCAAGCCGGTGCGAAGAGAGGAGGAGGCTTTCGAAGATCGTCTTGTTTCTGGAGTCGGTACCCCTTTTATGTGAAAGGGAAACCAAAAGGACCACCATCCTTTTGGCTTTTGGGGGGGGGTCCAAAGCCTCAAACAAGACGCCTGCCACCCACATGATAGCAGTCTGAGACCACTTCTGTGACCACTTCTGGCGCATTGTTCCTCGTGATTTTCAACTTTTTGGTGCGCTTCCCTTCGTGAAGCCAAACACACCGCCAGCCCGTTTTGCCCCTTTACCCAGTTGCCCAGTGGATTTCGCCCTGTTTTCAACTTTTTGTTGGGTTTCGGGTTCCCTTTAAACTCAACCAAGAAAAGGATGCCCTTTTTTCTCTGGCCACTGGGCATTTGAGTTTATATCTCGTTGTTTGGGTCTTCGGACTTTCACTTTTTGGTTACAACAGGTGGAATTGTCCAAACAGTGATTCACTTTTTGCAGACGGGTCAACGGCAACCAAGACGTGGAACTCTGTGTCGAACACTCAAACACATCGGCTGGAGAGCTTCATTTAATGATGTTCACCGAGTGTTCTCAATACAGATTCATACTTGTGCTGTGTTGGAGCAAAGACAAAACTTTGAGGATGGTTGAGGGGTTATTATTGCATATGGAGATGGTTTTCCTTTAAAACTTAGAGGGTGTGGTTTTTGGATGCCACTTTATTGGCCCAGTGGAACTGAAATCAGGTTTGAGTTGGCTTTGCGTGTTGGGCCGTTGGGTGCCAGGTCATTTCATTTGTCCCCTTCATCCGGGATCTAAACCGCTCCGGCATGGAGCATCCAAGTTTGGCATCGGTGGCTTCGGTTTGAAAAGAGCGAATGTGCTTCATTAGACAACACCAAGAGACCCTTTCCGTCCTTTCAAAGTTAGCTCCTCGAGTTTATCCGGAGGACCCTAGAAGCCTCCCATGTTGGTATCAATCTTCCCAGTCAAGCGGAACCCCCCAGACAGGGAGCACCCCATTAGCACGGCCCTGACATGACGTCGTTCGCACCCTGAGCGGATGGAGGGCTTCTTCGTGTGAAACAAAGAGGTGCTATGGACGAGCGGTTTGGGGAGGGGGTTGAGGTTCGTTCGGCTTCGGGTATGAAATTTCAGCCCGGTGCAGGTTCCAATCGGAGTGGTGCAAGTTCTCTCCGGTTGGGGTCCCAGCTTTTGGATTTCAGCTCGGGCCCAGGATCAGGTTCGTAGAGGATCTCTGGGGCTTAAAGCTGGGGTCTCTTCCACAGCTAAGTTGTTAGGAAGCTGACTTGGGTCCGTGCTTTTTTGAAAGGGTTCCCTCAAAGCCAGCAAAAGGCTGGGGTTGCAAGCCTTCTAAATGGGGGTTTATCGGGTTTATAGATAGCACTATTCAGCTTGTCACACCATTTAAAACCAAAGAGGGGCCGGATTTGGATCGGACAACTGGGATCGGCAGGTTGTGAAGCCTGCTGCCGCCGGAAGCCTGGAAAAGCAGCCTGGACGTACCAAACAACACACCCTGCCCCTGAATGTGCGCTTGTGTGTCACGTTTAATTGGGTCATAGGAAGCGGTTGTTTGATGCCATTAAATGTTCCGAAGCTATTAAACCATCCAAAGAAAGGCAATGTCTACGCTTGCTGTTCCGTGCCAGTGCCCACTTTGTGCAACAAAACAGACCAAGTAGTTCGGTCCACATATCCAGAGAGGCGGCCTCACAACACTTTCCAAGAAAAAGGGGGACAGTCCCGTCTGGGTGTGTCTTTCTTTCGGGAACCCCCTTTTGCCAAATGACGTCCGAGGAGATTTCCGTGGTCATGACTTAGCTCAGTTCCATGGTAGCCCGATTTCCATTCCAATGATTTAGCCCCTCATGGTAGCTCTGAATCTAGCCCTTTACAGAAGTGGTCATTGTTCAGCCATTTCTCTTACTTGGGTTTGCAACAAAAATAGGGGAACCCCCTGAGTCATGAAGTGTGTACTGAAAACCACGGATTAATAAATACCTGGTTGATTTATAGGGAGGTGTCCCCTTTTAGTGGGAATCCGGATGACTTTTGTGGGTGACACCCCCGATAAATAGGACGCGATTTATCTGGGGTTTGCATAATTAGTTTTTTCTGCCCCTTATATCATGTTACATTCAAGGCGGCCCTTGTGAATGGACCCTGAATTTGTCCCACTTGCGTACCCCTTACCCCTTTACATAGGCAATACCGTGAGTTTCAGCTTTGCCCATCGTGCCTCCATAAGAGGCATGTAATTCAGGATCCGTTCACAAGACCCCAGATTTTGTCCAGATCCATTTGACCCAGACGTTTCGACCCCCAGACAACAGGCACAGCCCTCCGAAACTCGTCCCACTGAGGTCTGGGACGGCGTGATTGCTCCGCCCTCTCCACGCGGCCCCCGCGTAGTTTGAGGGTTTGAGGTTCGGTAAAAAGTTTGGCGCAGGAAGTCGGGCATAGGGGGCTAAGACTACATGAATGAGCAAAATGGGGGGCACCCCTAGACAAATGCAAGCATAGACATGGGGTGTGCTCTTTTGATCTGGACACCGCGTTTAGGGTTTGTTTTAAACGGACACCAAAGCGAGGAATTGTCATTGTGAAGGTTCCCGTATTATAGAACTTCATAGCAATTCACCGAATTGGTGTCCAACCGAACTGGTGCCATCAAGCGGGCAATGCAAAGACCCCCAAGTGTCAACCACCTGCAACCAGTGTGGCGATATGTCAACGGTTCAGACTGCACCAAAAGGGGGTGAAGTTTGAGTGATTGGACATGGGTTGTTGGGAATCCATATTCAAGTTTTGGAATTGATTGCATCTGCAGAAATGAGTGTCTGAAAATTGTGTGACCTGTTTTGGTTCCCCACCCCCGTTAAGAATAGAATCGGTGGGAGGAGGGTGCGACATTTCGAGATCCCTAGTGCCAGTTTCCCTTGGGAAAGACTCAAAAGCACTGGACGCCTTCCCTGAGAATTTGAAGGGGAAGAGTAAGGACGCCAGCCATAGTTGGCCAATTCCTCTTTAAATAGCCAAAAGTTCGATTAATTTGCCCAAAAGGAAACCAGAAGGGGATGGATGGACACTTGACAATTTAATTGTTCCAGCCGCGATTCAAGGCCAAGTAGAGGAACTTGGGTGCATCGCTTTTCTGACAAGCACGGGAAACCGAAAGAACAGGTTGGGATGTTGGGACAGCATCGTCATGGGTTTGTCTTTTTTGGAGGATACCGGGTACCTTTTTTTTGGGTGGTTTAAGGAAACTAAGCGGAAACCACCCAGTTTGGGGGTTCCCCAATTTGGAGACAACCCTCATGAGTGGTTCAGTTCCCCCGTTTCTCCTGGGTCGAGCGAGTATGGGAAATGCTTCAAGTTTTGAGGTTGTGACCTAGGAACCAAAGAATGTCACTGGTCACGGGTGTCTTCGCTTGGGGAACTCCGTGTAAAAGGCCCAAGGTACCGTGGGGTGTTAGCCAATACCAGCAAAAGGCCGAACAAGTACCGTTGCTTCTGAGAGAACAGATGTTTTGAAAAGGTGGACATATACGTTTTGACCCAGCGCGCAAGTATGCTAAGACACAGACCAAGCAACAGCTCCAAGCTCCAATTGATTTTCTCAGTGGAGTCGAGAATCCGTGGCTGCACACTGCATGTCTTCAAAATTGGTGGTTTACAGGCTTACCTCGATTTCCCTTTCAACCACCAGAAAAGATCGCCCATAGCCCACATCTTGACATGGGTATGGGTCAAGATTAGTCACCACCAGGATATGGATCTAACCCGGTTGTAGTCCTTTCCATTTTCGGGCCACCCATCTTGGTTGGGGAAAGACCAAACCGAAGCACAGAGCCTTCACCAGCCGAGCGACCCAAACCAAACAAAGGCATGGAGAAGGAGCTGCTTGACTCAACCCGTCGATCTGAATGAAGTTGTGGCGCGTGGGAGTTCGCCAGGCGATCGAGGGCGAGAGTCGCGAGCCTGGCAAAGAAGGGTGGGAGGCAAAGCGCGTGTCTTTTTCCGGGATTTGGACCCACGAACATGGCGTCGGTTTTCCTGCTGGGTTTCTTTAACACCACTCAAAAAGTGGGTACCTGGAGGCTCCATGACCCTGTAAAAATGGGGTCACTACCCAAAATAAAGGGGTCATGAACCCATTTTTAAAGGGTCATGGAGAGTCTAGGTACTCTCAAAAAGAGAGAGAGACTCAAATCTATCGGATCGGAGTTCGACGCAAACGCGGGTGGTTCCCGAAGTTCCCGAAGTCCTGAAGGCGGCAAATCGATTTCTGGATGTCCGTGAAGATCCTTGGCCTAGCAACAACAACCCCAGGAACTCGCAGGCCGGAATCCCAAAAACCGTTGGGGTCTCACCAACATCCAGCACCGGACAAGTAAAGAATCCTTGCGATGAAGCACTGGGCCCGGCAAAATTAAAAGTTACCCTCTTCTCTGCTTTCAAAGGGAGTTGGACCCAAAAGCAATTTCGAGAATCCCGAACTCAAGTGGATTGGCCAGACTTTCTGTTTACCACAAAAAGGTCCAAACCCCAAACAGTGACTATCGTTCGAGCGGCTGCAGACCTTGTTCCAGCAGCGCCCGGGCTCGGTCTGCCAGCAGACCTCAACTTGCCACAGCAGCTGCCAGCCCATAGGGCTATCCAGATCATAGGCTCACTGATCTCCTCAGCTCAAACACGGCGGCGGCACAAGGGCAAAAAGCAGGAGGCACTGTGGACTTCGCCGCCCTCAAGTGTGCTTGCGCTCATTTGCGAGGTGGTGAAGAAGACCCGGGCCCGGGCCAGTTACCCTAAATCCCGGAAGTACACGTGGAGGTCCCGTTACAGCACAAGACGCAGAAAAGCAAAAGAAGCAGACAAAGACGCAGACAAAGGAGAAGCAGCAGCTCCCGCCAACGGAACTCAGGGAGTATACGCTAACCTGGTGATTGGACGCCTCCCGTTTTGCTTGTCTAATTGGGTCCCTTAAAGTGGGAAATCATTTTGAGGGGTTCTCAGAGCTATTTTTCCTTCAACACATTTTTGGACCCTCCCCCGCAAAATGGAGCAGTGGTGTTCCTTTTGGTTCCCTTCTTAACCACAACATCGGGGTACCGACTCTAAAACATCCGCACCCATTTTGAGGATGTCACGTCTAAACTCTTTGCCGAAACCATCTTGTGACCTTCTGGAAACCCATCTTTTCCCATTTTTAGCGGCAACCCAGAAGGTGATCACCTCTCATCTTGCTGGTGCTCAGCAGGGAGTGAGAATTGGAATGACCCCTATAAACCATCCAACTTGTGGTCTCTTTTAAGGATCCCGAAATTCATTCCATTTCTCATTCCCTACCTATCGCACCAACAAGATTTCGCTTTTGTCGAACAAAAGCCTGGGTTTCAACCTGCCTCGGCGCAGCTGAGCTGCTGGTGGTTTGGCCCCCTTGGAAAAAAGCTATTTCTGGGTCCAAACTGGGAAGCTGAGCACCTGGACCCGCGGAAAAACATCGGCCCACCGCTCAGGTTCCAGAAACCCGCGGCGCGGCCCCGGGTCGGGTCAGGCCAGCGATGCATGCGGAAAGTGATGGCTCCAGCCCAGTTCCTGGACTTGCACTTTTTGGGTTTGGAGCAGTTTTGTTTGGTGGCAAACAGAAAGTGTGGCTACTTTTTGTTGGGCCATCCACTCAGGAAGTGAGCTGTAAATAGACGGATGCGGAACCCATTCCAGAAAGTCCAAGAGGAGATTCCTCTACACATGGGATGTTTTTTCGGGCTCGAAGAAAAGAACACATGCAGGAGGGCAAACACCGTGTTTTGTTCTAGGTGGTTCGGTGCTTGGAGCCCAAGAAAAAGGCCTTTGGACACGAAGGGGTGTCATTTTAGGGGAACGCCCCCCAAAATGGTGGTTTGTCTTTGGGGTTTCCTGTTAACCACCCAATGGGGGCCGAGTGTATGTGTTTCGTTCATTAAACCTGCAAAAGGTTGAGGACTTTGAGACCTCAGGAAAGCAAAAGGAAGAGACACCCGTGGAGGTAGGCAGGTTTTGTGAGCCAGAGCTATCAATCTAGAAGCAAGAAATTGGGTTTCTGGCGAACGCCAAAGAAGTCGTATGATTTTGTTGGGTTATTTTCGCCGGGTTTCCGGGCCATCTCCATTTGAGTTACCTCCAAACATGGTAGCTTCAATGGAAACCACCAATAAATTGCGCAACTTTTGATTCAAACACGTCCAGTGATCCCTGCTTGCAATAAGTTCTATTGGTTTGGTCATTTGGTTTCTTTGTGTCATGGACGCCTCGGGGTAGGGGGGGCTATGGGGGGGCGGGGGGCTGTCCCTGGACAAGCCTAGCATTAGCCCTTCGTAAGGCCTGACTAAGGGCGTAATCACTTGACTGCTATCGGGGTGGATCTTTAGACTTTAACTTTTTGGGAAATAGAGGTGCTTTCCGCTAAACCTCCAAAAGGTTAAACTTTTTGCAGGGGGGTCAAGGGCAACCAAGATCAGTCGCCCCGCCTGTTTGGTTGCTGGGTCGGGCCCCAGGCAAGAGCTCGGCGAAAGTGGCGATCGGAACGCACTTCTTACCCGTCGAACGGGTCCCCCGAGTAAAGAGATGCACCCTTGAGATGTCACGGTCGATGCTTCCTTGGGGAGATCAGCTATGCCACAGTGAAAATACGTCTTTACTTGGGGTTAACGTTGGTTGTCAGGATTCTTCACCCACCTTGTTTTTAACGAGCTCACGAAGGTGCACTCAAAAAACCCCTCTTTCCAGGTTTTGAGACTGAAAATGCAGATGGACTGATATTGCTGGTGTTTCTAAGATGGCTTCCATCCCGAAACCCACCTGAAGCACCCCGAAAGGAAGCTCACAAATCAATTGCCCCAAAGCTGATATTGAACATCCTTCAAGGGTGAATACTAAATGGAAAAGAAGGCATCCTCAAAATTACCCTTTCCTGGCCGTTTGAGGGGAATCTGTTTTGATGGGCGCCCCCAGAAGGCGGGTTGTTAACTGGAAGCATGGTTCTGGGTTCACTTTCTTCTTCCCCAGAATTAGCTCCCCTTTTTGATTTTCTGCTTTTTGGGGTCCCTTTTGTTTTCCACTACCCAGGCAAAACACATGTCTCGTGTTTTGCCGGGGTCCTAGTTCCAGCCAAGATTCTTTTGGTACCGATCGGTTTTGCCGATGACCCAACTAGAACCGGAGCGGCGCGGCGGCGTGGCGCGTGGACTCGGCGCTTTCGAGGCGCCGCGGGCGGGCAGCCGGGCTTCGGGGAGCTGCCGGGCTGGGCCCAGGGCCGCGCCGGGGGACTCAAGCCGTCCGAGCGCGCGCGAGCGGAGCGCGCGCTCAAAGAGAGTGTGTGGTGTGTGTGGTGTGCGTTTGTTTTTTTTGTTCTTCTTTTCTCCGGGTGCTGGGGCTTTCAAGGTCCATTGCACACCCCGGAGGTGTTTGGGGGTCTCAAAACCTGGCTGTCGAGGGTCCCAATGCATCGGGAGCCTCTGGGCCGGTTTTTGGGGGACACCTGGATTGTGGCTTTAACTTGCTGGTAGGATAGGGGATGAATAAGGAGTCCGGGTGTTTGGAAGAACTGGCTTTGTGGATTCCCTTTTTAAAGGAAGCCAGCAGTTGGATTGTTAGGGGTCATTCCGTTTCTCATTCATTTCCCCTGCTGAGCGCCAGCAAGTTTAGGGGACCCGCCAATAATGGCTTCGGCTTTCCTTTTGGGTTTCCTTTAAAACCCCACAACAAAGGGGGTCGCTGAAAACAAAGGACGAACCACCCAATCGGGTTTGGGGTTGCCTGTGACATGAACATCCAGTAGTCATGGGGGTAAAAAGTCCCACTTCAGGAATGTGTATGTCCAACCATCTCCAACCAGTCGGTACCAAGGGCCTTTAACCCGATGGATCAAAACGGTAAAACCTTTGCCGCGTTCGATTTGGCGGTTCCCTTGGCAGGTTGTCCTTTACCAGCTTGCGAAGCTGGAGGGCAGAGCAGCTCTGACTTAAATCCTGGCTGGATTCGAAGCCAGGCACATCCACCCAGCTGAATTTAAATTGGTGTCAGTGTGTAAGGCAGCACCTGAACGTCATGTTCCCAAACCAAAAATGTCTGGCCCCTGCCGCCCAAAACTGGGCGGAGCGTTTAAAGCTCGCCGCGCAAATGGCTAATTTGGGGCTGCTCCAAGACTCCAAGCCTCTAAAGGATGACCCTCTTGGTCGAAAATGGATTAGGTGTTTGGTTTCCCTTCACTGCATACGAATGTTCTATTGTTGTGCCTATTTCGGGGCAACCTTGTATGTTTTTGACAAACTCATCCTAATGGGGGTGTTCCCTCCAGACAACTCTCTTCTGCTCCGGGTTGATCCACCCAGGGCACCCACCTTAGGCAATGTCAGAAACAGCTGGTTCCTGCCAGGTTTCCTGTCAGAAACCTCCTAACAACCCACCGAAGAACACGGGGGGGCGGGGGGGGCGGCGCACCGCGCCTCAGGATCCGCCGCGGCGGGAGCTGCCACGAAGATCGCCGGGCAGGCGTTTTCTCATCGCCGTTGAACAAGCTTCCCTGGTTGCTATGAGAATCTCTCCCCCCTGGGTTGGGTGGGGTTGGGTGGGTGGGGTTGTTGGTGTGGGTGGGTTTGTTGGGGTGGGTGGGGTGCTGGGGTGTTTTAATTATTATTAGGGGCAGTTTTTTAATAGAACGAAGGGATTTTACATAGGTTCTCAATTGCCCCCCCAAAATCTCCGCCTGAGACACAATCCACGGCCTTTTTCCCGCGCGAGCGTGCTCATCCCACTCAAGCTGCAGTCCTTAGCATGGAAGAACGGGTGTCGGTTGATTTTTGTAGGAGATGATCGCCAATTGCCAGTCGTTCGAATGTTTCAGGCATGTGAGAGGTATGGGGCTCCTGAACTCACAGTGCGACGTCAGGAGTGGCAGCGTAAAATGTCGGAAGGTTTGTCTCAAGGAGATGTCCGTGGGGTATATCTTCTAGATAGAGGTAACACTCAATTGGTGGTTTGGTTTGCGGTTGGGGGCTTCAGCCCATTTCCCAACTTCCACTTCCGTTCCAGGATATGTCCGCTTTTCCCCAACAGCTGAAAGCGTTGGGGTCTCTGCCCAGATAAGTTTTCAGGGGGGCTCCGAAGGGTTCCGGGGCTGTTGGGGCTCGGGCAAGAAGCCGTTGAGCTGGAATGCGGCTGTGGCCATATGTTCTCATTTTACCTCACGTCTTCGCAAACGCATGTCGATTCCACCCGTGGAGGCGTTTTTTTTTCTTCTCTGAGGTACTTGAAGGCCACTGATGCGATTGATTCTTGAAGCCGCAAGAGGCGGTTCTTGTGAATGTGTGGCGCAGCTTCTGAGAAGCACACGAGTGGAATGGGCAGTGCAGCCATGCCGCTGTTGAAGAGTCGTGCACCCCGACAGTTCCACCAGAAGCTGCGCGAGATAACTCAGAGACGGCGCCAAAATGCAGACGCCGTGGGTGATGAGAATGGCAGCTGGCCCGAGGAGTCGAAGCGGGAGTTAAAAGGCTTTGACCATGGGATTTCCGGAAATTGGACGTAAAAGGAACCCTCTGGTTTGGACCATGTTCCTTTTGGCAGGAACCCTCTTTTCTCGGGAGGACACTTTTTGAGCCTCTGTGTTTGCATAGACCCACTTTTGCATGCTTTGCTGGGAGAAAGAAACTGCAGAAAGAGGCCACCAACGCGCCTGGTGTCATCGCCAACTCCTCCAATCAATGCCATGGTTATTAGTGGGAGGCTACCTGTGGTTTCCCAGCACTCATTAAATAGGTTGTAACCATGGTTCTTAGTGGGACAGCAACTGGCAAGTTTTTAAGCATGGCTGTACTACCAAGATCATGATACCAACCGTTGGCTAGAAGCTCATCCCAGTTCGTTAGGATAGAATCGTCAGGGAACAAACCCCCGTGCATTCCAAGCGACGGCAAGGCAGGAGGAGCGCTCCGTCCGCGCACCCGTCGGATGGGGTTGCGACGAGAAGTTCAGGACAGGGTTTGGCAAAATGAATAAAATGAATCAGACCCTTGTCCCACTGAAAAGGGAAACCGCAAGGTTGTTGTTGAAGCAGTGGTTTATATATGCACGATCATCTACTGTAATCCACAGTCGCAATGGGTTACACTTAATGCTTGGTACCATCGTCAAATCTTTGGTATTGGCTGCAAATGTGAATAGATCCTAGGTTTAGTTTGGAGTTGAATTCTGACCAAGAGTGCAGGAAAGGACATCTTGGGCACACACCACGATACCATTAAACATGGGGATGCAACTCCCATGTCAGATGCGGGCACAAGGAACATTGACCGTGGCTATGTTCCCACATGTTTTCATGTCCCACTTCTACTTGAGCCTGTGCCAGCAGCAACATTGCAGCAAATCTTCATAGTGTTCAAAGGGCGCCCACTCAGCACTTTGTCCGCCAAATAAGAAGCCCGCTCAGGCTTTGCAATCCACTCACTGGCTGCTGAGCTAACTTGTTGCTTAAAAAAAGAGATAGGTCGGAAATGGACATCAGTGAAATGCGCTTAGACTCTGTTTCTGGTGCCTGCCAGCGGGATTATCTTCAGGTTGCCATATGGTTGGGTCTTTCTCAATTGGCCGCGACTGCTTTTGAAAAGGCTCGCCTGCTGAAACACATAGTTACTTGGTTGCGCTTGGGGCGGACCTTTTGCTGGGTACGCCCTATATTATTTGGTGCTTTCGCCTGAGCAAAGATTCCCTCGCCAGCCAAAGCAAGAACCGTCTCATAGGCATCATCCCAGGCGCTGATTTGCGTTTTTCCAAAATAGGGGGTTCCCCAAAAGCTGGCGGAGCATATTTCAGACGCAAAGTTGTCAGAGGGCCCGCCCCTTCTTTTGAGAAATCTGATGTACGTGAGTGTGTGTGTGTGTGAGTTATTCCAGCGCGTCCCATGCAAACAAAAAACCATTCAATGCCAAGCAATGTCGGTTCTGCGGCAAAACATGTAGGTTCTATTTTTTGTTAAAAGAAAATACAAAACTACGGTTTGTCTACAGTCAAGTCGTTGTAGGTGCATTGCGCAAACACTGAAAGTGACGCAAAGACCCTATCAAGAAAGAGCAATGCGCTCAGCTAGCAGAAAAGCACTTGTTTTGCCAAGGCTATTGACAGGGTTGTATTAGCAGGCATGCTTGGAAGAAAATGGAGCCCAAAACGCCGATGCCAAGAATGGTGGGCATTCTAGAACCTATTTTGGGGATTGAATCGGAGGTTCACTGGGGGAAAACCGGTTTGGCTGACCCATGGCCAAATGGGAAGGTTTAGCCCTGGCATTCCGGCAGGCCACTCCCCTAAACCCACCATTTGGGGTGAGGTCGTGTGAGGTTATAATTCACCCAGAGCAATGGTTGGTTTCATGGAACCACCATGGTTTGCTGTTCAGGATTGTCATCTATGCTTCCTCGACTGTTTTTCCTTTAGTAGGCTTTGTACATCGTCTATTTCTCCCCAAACTGGAATCCCATTGGTTTTGACCCACAGCCATTTCGGTGATTTCCATTTCCCAATCAACCGAAACGGCCGAGGCCGGCCCTGCGAGGCGGCAAGTGGCCGTCCGGAGCCAAGCCGAATGAATTTTCCATCGGCGCGACGCGGTGAGACATGAGGGCCCTGGTTTTGTCCGGAAAACGTTGTTGATTGGATGCGCTTTGCTGTGGATTCCCCCAGGTTTCTTTGTGGATTCCACTGATTTGTTTCTGTGGTCTGCGGATTCCCCCCGTGGTTTTTCCCAGCTGTTCTTTTGTTTCAGTACTTTTGCGAGTAATTACTCTTTTGGTAGTCTACTGAGGTGGATCCACAAACCGCTCTTACGGCGAAACGAGAACCCTTTGGCCTTAGGCGGGTCGTTTGACCATGGCATGGTTCCAGAAGGTCCGTCCGGTGTCCTTCGATTAGTATTGGATAGAAATGCCAGTGTCTTGGTCGCCATGTTGGAAGAATTCTCCCCCAACAATATGAGATACACCCAAGTAGATGGAACATCGCCACTGGTTTAGATGCGTTTTGTGCCCCAAAGAATTCAGGTCGCCAACGGCTTTTTTCTCCACAGGTCGCCTTTGAGGCTCAAGGTTACTCGGCCCTTTTGGAGCGGCCCGTCAGAGGGTTTCGCGTCCAACATATTTTTTTTATACGCAACCCTTGTGGTTTGAAACAAACTGACAGGTTTCATGGGTTTGAAACATTGATGGGTTTCATGGGTTTGATGGGTTTGAAACATTGATTTGTTGCATGGGTTTGACGGATTTGATGGGTTTGAAACATTGATGGATTTGACGTGTTTATTGGGTTTGAAACATTGATGGGTGTCATGGGTTTGATGTGTTTGATGGGTTTGAAAGATTGATGGGTGTCATGGGTTTGACGGATTTGATGGGTTTGAAAGATTGATGGGTTTGATGTGTTTGATGGGTTTGAAGCATTGATGTGTTTGATGGGTTTGAAGCATTGATGGGTTGCATGGGTTTGACGGATTTGATGGGTTTGACACATTGATGGGTTTGACGTGTTTGTTGGGATTGAAACATTGATGGGTGTCATGGGTTTGACGGATTTGATGGGTTTGAAGGATTGATGGGTTTGACGGGTTTATTGGGTTTGAAGCATTGATGGGTTGCATGAGTTTGACGGATTTGATGGGTTTGACACATGGATGGGTTTGACGGGTTTAATGGGTTTGAAACATTGATGGGTGTCATGGGTTTGACGGATTTTGATGGGTTTGATGTGTTTGATGGGTTTGAAACATTGATGGGTGTCATGGGTTTGACGGATTTGATGGGTTTGACACATTGATGGGTTTGACGGGTTTATTGGGTTTGAAGCATTGATGGGTTGCATGGGTCTGACGGATTTGATGGGTTTGAATCATTGATGGGTTTGACGGGTTTATTGGGTTTGAAACATTGATGGGTTTGATGTGTTTGATGGGTTTGAAGCATTGATGGGTTTCATGGGTTTGACGGATTTGATGGGTTTGACACATTGATGGGTTTGACGGGTTTAATGGGTTTGAAACATTGATGGGTGTCATAGGTTTGACGGATTTTGATGGGTTTGAAACATTGATGGGTTTGATGTGTTTGATGGGTTTGAAGCATTGATGGGTTGCATGGATTTGACGGATTTGATGGGTTTGAATCATTGATGGGTTTGATGTGTTTGATGGGTTTGAAACATTGATGGGTGTCATGGGTTTGACGGATTTTGATGGGTTTGACACATTGATGGGTTTGACGGGTTTAATGGGTTTGAAACATTGATGGGTGTCATGAGTTTGACGGATTTGATGGGTTTGAAACATTGATGGGTGTGATGTGTTTGATGGGTTTGAAGCATTGATGGGTGTCATGGGTTTGACGGATTTGATGGGTTTGAAAGATTGATGGGTTTGATGTTTATTGCGTTTGAAGCATTGATGGGTTGCATGGGTTTGACGGATTTGATGGGATTGACACTTTGATGGGTTTGATGTGTTTATTGGGATTGAAACATTGATGGGTGTCATGGGTTTGGCGGATTTGATGGGTTTGAATCATTGATGGGCTTGATGTGTTCATTGGGTTTGAAGCATTGATGGACGTCATGGGTTTGACGGATTTGATGGGTTTGAACCATTGATGGGTTTGATGTGTTTGATGGGTTTGAAGCATTGATGGGTTGCATGTGTTTGACGGGTTCATGGGTGGGTTTGAAATTTTGATGGGGTTGATGGGTTTGACAGGTTTCATGGGTTTGAACATTTGACGGGTTTAATGGGTTAGATGGGTTTGTAACATTGATGGGTTTCATGTGTTTGACGGGTTTCATGGGTTTGAAACATTGATGGGTTTGATGGTTTTGACGTTTGATGATTAAGGGGGTTGTTGGTTATTAGTTGGGTATGATTTGGGTTTGAACCACTGACTGCAAACATTGCTGATGAAGGGGTTTCTTGCTGGGGTATGAGTTGGGCATGATTTGGGTTTGAATCAAACTGAGGGCAGCGGTAGATGATAAGCCAATCTGACAACACATTGTCTTTATGGTTATTTGGTTGGCTCTTTGGACTTTAACTTTTTGGTTGAAACAGAGGATTGTCCGTTGGACCCCGCAAACAGTTAAAAGCTGTTGTGCAGAAGGGTCAACAGCAACCAAGAAAAGGAGATGGCATCTACCAGGGTCGCTGGGCGACTGCGGGTTTGTAGGCGCCAGGAATCTATCGGAAACTAGCCACACGCCGAAAAGGGCCGGGAGATGTGTTTGTAAGCGGGTTTTGAGAATAGCAAATGCACGAAGAGAGGGCTGCACGGAGAGGAGGACACCACGTTTCGGGACGAAGGGGGTGTTGATAGTGCTTTACTTTGGGGGATGGTCCTAGCCTACACTTCTGTGGCGACCACCATCCCAAAGGAGTCTTTAGGCATTGTCCATAGTCGTGGGTTTGCTTGACATGGTAACATGGTTACTCTATGGGAGGTCATTTGAAAAATGAGCATTTCCTCACTTACAAGAGCCGGACAAAATCATGTGACAGACACCAAACACACGTCTCCCGTACCATCCCCATTCTCTTCAGAGATCTCTCTCTCTCTCTCTCTCTCTCTCTCTCTCTCTCTCTCTCTCTCTCTCTCTCTCTCTCTTCAAACAATTGGTCAATCCCACAAAAAGCAAGGTGGTTTTCCAAAGAGAGGTTGGGTGAAGAGAATGGGGAATCAAGCTCTCGAACACACTCTAATTATGGTGGTCATTTGGACAATGAACATATTCTCACTAACCGAGCGTCAAGAAACAGGTCACAGACAGTAAACAAACACTTCTATCCTTACCTTCCCCATTTTCAGGGTTTTTTCTCCTCACTTCAAACATGTTTTCTCGTTCTTCAGGGATCCGACTGTCTTCAAATGGCTGCCAACCGCTGGGAACATGGGTGGTTTCTTCAAAGCACAACGCCTCAACTCAGTTGTGCAGTGGCACCAATTCTTGTTCCCCTTTTTTGGGTGGCTGCCCCACTAAAAATGGAAACTTCCCACCAAAAAGGGTTCCCTTTTTTTTCTCCAGGGTCACTGAACAACTGAGGCAAACAACTCAACGCTGGCCCCGCGTTTCCGCTGGCATCGCTGCATCTCCGCCTGAGGCCCGGGAGGCTCGAGAGGCTCCAGCGGCTGAGCAGCGTGGTGGGGGCAGCGGCCGGAACTACAAGAAGCCGGGCTCGTCGCATCGGTTTCACGGGCTGAAGCGAAGGAGACCTGTTTTTGCCCCCCAAGCCACCAGGTTTTTTTTGGGGGGTCTACATCCACATCACCCCATGTTGAGCACCCTGCCAGGAACTTTTTTTGAAATAAGGACATTTGATCGTTCAGGTACGGGGCTAATACTGCGTCTGGTTTAGGATTGGGACCCCCCAAAATCGCTTCGGTGTTCCTTTTGGTTTCCCGTTAAAACCACCAAAAGTTGGGTGTCGGGGAAAAAACAAACAAAACACACCCACATGGTTGTGGAAAATACACTTGTCAAGGGCTAATTCCTGCCATTGCACGGGAATGTGTGTGTGTGTGTGTGTGGGCCAAAATAGGGGGACCAAACAAATTGTGTCTTTTCTTCCTGCTTCTCTTTAAAGCCTACCCAAAAAGGATACCTCAAAAAACGACGAGCACCCCACGTCTTTTGAAGGGCCTCAAGCTTTGACCGCGCTGAATCGCGAGGGGTCTTTGAGCGAAGTATTTGGAAGAAAATCGGGGAACGGCAGGACGTTATCACGAAAGCAGCGATGTGAGTAGCATGTTGAAAGTATGTATTGAATAAGAATGAGTTTGCTAAATTAGTATGATCGCACATGCGTGTGTGTGTGTGTGTTTATATCTTGCATTCATCGAAACCTTTGCCTATATTTGTTTGGTTTGTTTGGTCGCTTGGCTTGTTTTGGTTTGGTTGGTTTGCTTTGGTTTGGTTTGTTCTATGTGAGCATGGGTCAAAAGTACGGAAACTCCTAAAATGGTAGCCTGGTAAATGGAAAGGACCAGATTCTGCGGGCCATATCCTGGTGGTTTAGTGTTGACCCATACATCTGTATCGACCGTCACCTGTTGGATTTCAGGTCTTAGCCCAGGCCGCTTCTCAGTCTCAGTTCGAAAAAAAATCAGGGTCCAGCCACAGCTTTCCCCAGCAGCTGAGCGGTCTGCGAGGCCTCACGTGTCCAGTATGCTAGGGGTACCTTCCAATTCCATTCTTTCCAGGGATCCTTCTTTCTAGAAAACCCCCGGAAACCCAGGGAAACGGCCGGTGTTTTGAAAAGAATGGGGAATCATCCGTTGGAACTATTCATGACCCTTCCCGGCCTTGTGCGGTCAAGAAATCGGCGGTTCATTCATTGGATCAGAAGGACTATACGAGCGTGCCACTCTTCTGCATTTGCTGTTTTATGGGGCTGACATTGCTGCACTCGCCAAAGTACGACTTAAGTTCTTGTTTCGCCCTGAATATCCATTTGTGGTCACACTGATATTTTTGACCCCAGCCTTCCCATTAAACGGTTGGATCTCGGCAGAGATGCCATGAATGAGTGGCTAGAGGCAATGCCGATCGCCGCGCATCGCCTGTTGCTAGGATCTTCAAACGTCCATGGCAGTGTGTCAAACCCCTGTGGCTGGTATCAATGTGGCTGGTATCTCCTTAAAGTCACCTCGAGACGGTCGTCAGATTTGACGCGGGTTTCTGTTGGTCGCTTCTCCATTCTCTTCACCCATCGTTCTCTTCAGAAGCCACCCATATTCCCAGGGGTTGGCCCATTTGCGTCGGATCCCGGAAGGTACGGTTAGAAGTGCGTTTGGTGTCTGTAACCATGTCTTCTCAGGCTCCGGTTGGACAGGATATGGCCTCCTTGTCCAAATGACCACCCATTTTTCCAGGGCGACAAACGCGAAGGGAGGGTTGGGTGTCCTAAGAGAAACATATACTTCAAACAAAATTTCCTCAACCAGGTTTCCTTTTAGTTCTTCCTCAATCCCCCCAACAAAAACTCAACCAACTGACGCCTTCAAGTCCGAAACAATCAACCAAGCAACGCCTGCACGAAGTCCGGCAGGCCCTGGATGGACAATGTGCCGGACAAGAAGGGCAAGGAGGAGAAGGGCAAGGCGATCCGCTCATTGGGATCGGCCGAATTTCTTAAAGTATGGCTTCCATTCGCGCTTTTCAGAATGTTTTTGTTTTTCCCGTTGGTTTTAACGCTAAACGAGCCCAACCAAGTTTTTAAGGTATGGTTTTTTGGACCTATGGAGGCTATATACGCTGTATATAGAGGTCATATACCGCCTTACAAGCTAACATATTTTTGGTATCTAAGGATCCATACCTCAAAACCAATACCTGGAAATGCCCTTGAAAAAACAAAGCAGGCTGTTAGTAGGTCATTTGTTGGCTGACCGATTCTTGGAGGTAGTGGGCTTGTGGCGCCTTGCAAAGATTGGGGACTGTCAGCAAATGCTATGTTCACAAGCAGGCAATCTTACACTTTTTGGCGATGGTCATCCTATGCTTCACTTTCCCGTCCATTGTCCCTTTGATTTGGGAAATGGGTGAGCTGCATTCCTTCCTTGGTTCAGAGAACCGCGAATCGCCCACTTGCCAATGTGGCGGCAAAATGCTTTCAAGTTCTTGGTAGAATCACCCAACACTGGTTGCCTTTTCGCAAAACATATGTTGTCCACGGTAAGCTTCAGGTTCGTAAGGTCTCGATAAAAATGGGGTGTTTCATCCATCCCATCTGGTACAGGATTTTGTTCATCCAATGCAGTGCCGTGCTGATGACAATAAGAAGAAACGTGCATCTGCATGGCACCGATTGTGCAGCTATTTAGCAGATCAACATGTCTCATGCCAGTTCACTCACGTTTTGCAGATTTAGGATCTGGGGGAGAATGGTGTGGTGTCATCTGCTTCGCCCCTCAGCAGATAAAGCAAGGGCAATGGCACAAGTCAGGCAAAGTAGGCGCCCGGCTTCAGGAGTCATGAGCTTCAGGGAGTAAGCTTAAAACATGACACATCAAACCCCTGTGAATTGTGGGATAAACATGGGTAAACTACTTACAAAGTCGTGCTTTATTCTGTCCATCCGAATAACCTCTCTACAGCAGTCGACCTCAAAGGTCGCCAGGCCTTTGCACATAGCTGGGGGGAACCAAAGTCTGGAGTCGGCGTCAGAGTTGATCGGGGGGCGCCGCGCAGCTTTTTCATGTGTTGCCCCTCCGTCCGGTCACAACCCAAACAGAGGTGTCCCGTTGGATTGATCTGGAATCCGGATCTCTAAACACCCCAGAAGAAGGTTGATACATCTGGGGGAGCTTTACCAAGGCTCTTTGCTTTTCCGGAGGTTTTCCGGAGATCTAGACTAAAGCGGAGCTGCACGAACTGGTCAAATGTGAAGGTATCGGGTTTCCTGATTTCCAGGTGAATTTCCTGACCCTGCAGTGTTTCCCAGCCAACCCCATTTTTCAAGGGGTCAGACGGAGACTCCAAGCGATCACTTGCCTGGAAATCTTTGTCAGATTGGTCTAGGGAAAGAACCAAGGCCCCACAATTGAGGTAAGGTTCTGAAACCTGTTTAGAGGTTCTCATCCAAGGATTCTCAGAACCATTCCAGTGAGGGCGCCCCAGCCCCAAGTTACCCCATGCCTGAAAGTGACAAAAGTATAGTAATAGGACTTGCCCATTCTTGTGTATCATACTAGTTCCTCTGGACGCTGCAAAGTTGTGCGGGGTTAAACACCAGCACACCCCACCCCACCCCACCCCACCCCACCCCACCCCGCCCCGCCCCGCCCCGCCCCGCCCCACCCCGCCCCACCCCGCCCCACCCCGCCCCACACCCCACCACACCCCACCACACCCCACCACACCCCACCACACCCCACCACACCCCACCACACCCCACCACACCCCACCACACCCCACCACACCCCACCACCACACCCCACCACCACACCCCACCACCACACCCCACCACCACACCCCACACCCACACCCCACACCCACACCCCACACCCCACACCCCACACCCCACACCCCACACCCCACACCCACACCCCACACCCACACCCCACACCCACACCCCACACCCACACCCCACAC